AGTTGTATTTTACTAATAAAGCATGTTGTGATCTTATGAAGATATGCATATTATGAATATTATAAAATAACACAAAAGCATGAGTTGTAAAGTGCAAGCAAAAACCCGCGTGCATACACACAAACACATACATACACGCTCACCCCTCACTTACACACATACTTGCATGCATGCATAAGAGAGACAGAAAGAGAGACATATCGAAAGAGAGACAGAGAAAGAGAGAGACAGAGAGAAAGAGAGACAGAGAAAGAGAGAGACAGAGAGAAAGAGAGACAGAGAGAAAGAGAGAGTAGGAGAGAGAATAAGAGAGAGAGTCACAGAGAGAAAACAAGAGAGAGATAGAGAGAGATAGAAAGAGTAAGAGAAAGAATAAGAAAGTGTAAGAAAGAGACAGAGAGAATAACATACACAGAATAAGCTAGAAAGAGATAGAGAGACAGAGGGAGATAGAGAGAGAGGCATAGAGAGAGAAAGAGGTTCATAGGGAGATAGGGAGAGTAAGAGAGTGAGAGTATGAGAGAGAGTAAGAGAAATAGAGTAAGAGACACAGAGTAAGACAGAGAAAGAGAGAGAGACAGAGAGTAAGACAGAGTAAGACAGAGATAAAGAGAGAGATATAAACAGAGAGAGGAAGATACACAGAGATAGAGAGATAGTTAAATATATCAAATATTTTTTTTGACGTCATGTAAGCAGAAAAGCTCAAAACACCCGCCGTTGTTTTTGTTTTTCTCCAAATACTCTTTGACACCGAGCCAAATCTCCAGGAAGCAACCGACTGCCGGTAATTTGCCCTGCCCCCCCCCCCCCCCGCACGCACACACACACACACACACACACACGCGCGCGCGCGCGCGCGCATAACCCCAATCATGCAGTTACCCAGCAGGAGGAGACAATCCAGAAAGGAGTTCTACACATTTTATCCGTCAGGGAAATCTTATCTACGATAAGCTACGACAGGATCCCACACATACTGCGGTTTCCTGCAGAATATTTTTTTCTAGGTTGTCATTTGAAGGGCGGTGGGGTGGCTTTAAATCAGGAGATTGTATCTCCACTTCAACACTCATGTTCTGTCTGCTGGATAAAACTGGTTCACGGGGTGCTTCCTGTGTGAAGAGGGAGGAAAAACACGGTTATTGCGTCACTTCACAGTTCCCTGCAAAACAATATTGTCTGATAATAAATAGGCCAGCAACCCTTGTGGTTCTGTCAGGTCTAATACTTGGGTACGTCAATTGTTGGGGAATCCCAGAGACGTCTGAAATAGAAACACACAACAAATATAAATGAACGCACAGGTTTTGATAGGCCCTAGTAGAAATCGAAGAAAGAAAAGAAAGAATTAGAGAATATCTTCTTATTTCTTCTTTGCGTTCACCAGCTGTAAACTCTGGTGGAAAGTTCTGGTTGTTCGTCCACTTCTGGACTGCAGTCTTCTTCCAGAACCTGAGTGCTGCTTGTGCATCTGTTTGACAGATCTCACACATTTGTGTGCACACTGTTGGGTCCTTGCCTCTCAGGCAGATGCACTCCGATTTCGAAGGAAGCTCCCAATTAGTCAACTCTTACGACATGCTTTTGGGCAGGCAGTGGGTCTATTCTTGTTTTCCCTATAATAGGGCTCCGGAACCCACACGGGGAATTAGAGATTATGAAACAGTTAATCTGCGTTTTTTTTTTTTTTTCTGCAGTTTTAAGCTGCAGAGATATTTTTCTGGTGGTACGCAATAATGGTACCTTTTCCTTTGAGGTATCCGTTTTTCATCGCTACTGTAATATACACACTTTACGATAGTACAGTCACCTGTTTTAGTTTTTTGTGATGAGTACCAGCACATTTTTGTTTGTTAAAGAAAAAAAAATTCCTGGGTAGACCATATATCTCCCATTATTGTTCTATCAAAAGATTTTTGTGTTTACCTTTTGACGGAGGCATCCGAGAGATGATTTATACTGTCCATAAGCCAATTTCCCGCCCCCCCCCCCCCCCCCCCCGCGCAAAAAATTCTTTCACCCCACTTTCAGTTCAAATTTTGAATAAGTACTATATTGTTTTTGTTCTTGGTCTGTGGTACTCTAAGAAAGTTCCTATAACATATTAGTTTTAAATTCTAAATTCCCCCCCCCCTCCCTCTATTCTTTTTAGTTCCCGCGAGATAATCAACGATGCGTCTCTATTTAGTGCATTATAGTCCTATGTAGTCACTTGATATTTAGTGCATATTTGTGTATGTGTGCTGTGTTGTTCTTTATGTGCTGATGAAGGCAAATCGCAGCAACGTCCTTTGTTCATTGTGATCGATTTCGTAAAGCTGACATAAACTATTTGTTTTTTCTTAACCCCTTTTCTTCTCTTCTCTACAATTTCCTACCCTTTTAAAAACTTACTTTGCAACAGGGACGATGCATGTTTTAGGATACTTGTTTTAGGATACATGTTTTAGGATGCTTGTTTTAGGATGCATGTTTTAGGATGCTTGTTTTAAGATGCTTGTTTTAGGATGCATGTTTTAGGATGCATGTTTTAGGATACTTGTTTTAGGATACATGTTTTAGGATGCATGTTTTAGGATACATGTTTTAGGATGCATGTTTTAGGATGCATGTTTTAGGATGCATGTTTTAGGATATATGTTTTAGGATGCATGTTTTAGGATGCATGTTTTAGGATGCATGTTTTAGGATGCATGTTTTAGGATACATGTTTTAGGATGCATGTTTTAGGATGCATGTTTTAGGATGCATGTTTTAGGATGCATGTTTTAGGATGCATGTTTTAGGATGCATGTTTTAGGATGCATGCTTTAGGATGCATGTTTTAGGATGAATGTTTTAGGATGCATGTTTTAGGATGCATGTTTTAGGATGCATGTTTTAGGATGCATGTTTTAGGATGCATGTTTTAGGATGCATGTTTTAGGATGCATGTTTTAGGATGCTTGTTTTAGGATGCTTGTTTTAGGATGCATGTTTTAGGATGCATGTTTTAGGATGCATGTTTTAGGATGCATGTTTTAGGATGCATGTTTTAGGATGCATGTTTTAGGATGCATGTTTTAGGATGCATGTTTTAGGATGCATGTTTTAGGATGCATGTTTTAGGATGCATGTTTTAGGATGCATGTTTTAGGATACATGTTTTAGGATGCATGTTTTAGGATGCATGTTTTAGGATGCATGTTTTAGGATGCATGTTTTAGGATGCATGTTTTAGGATGCTTGTTTTAGGATGCATGTTTTAGGATGCATGTTTTAGGATGCATGTTTTAGGATGCATGTTTTAGGATGCATGTTTTAGGATGCATGTTTATGGTGTTAACATGTCATGCAATTCCTTAAAGTGCAACATATGAGGTGATTTAGCTATCTTATAAGAAAGCCCTGGTTCCAAGAACAGCAGATAACCAAGCTAACTAAATATAATTAACACAGAATAAGGGGACGACCACACAAAAGACCAAACGAGGCCATCCATAACAGCTCTTATAGAATGAAAATCCCTTTTTACTACGCATTAGAACGGGCAAACAACAGAATCGACCATCTCCAAACACCATGAGGTAACTGTGGACAGAGAAGACAACCAGAAACAAGCGACTGAACTGTTTGTTTAGTAAATATATTAAGATTTAAAGTGATTTTCGACGTTTACGATCCTGAAAACAAAATAATTTGAAATAAAAACGGCGACAGGCATATGATCAATTCTTCGAAATTTACAACTTTCAGTCTTAATTTGTTTCTTCTTCATCTTCTTTCGTTCGCTTGAAATAAATAATCTTTATCTGCAATGCTGTCATTAGTATGAACTTCACTGTCTTTTGTAGTTCACTTAGCGGCCCGTAAAATTTGGCTTCCACCTGTGACTGTCTTAGCTAGAAGTTCTGCCTGTGAATGCTGTACCCGGGACAGTCTTGGAGGATATGATCTGTTGTCTCAGATGCCAATCCACATGTACACACGGCTGATTCTTCAATCTTAAATTTAGTGTACATGTGGCTGCCAAGTCAACTGTGTCCTGTTTTAAGTTTAAAAGTCATGTTCTTTGTAAATTGACCAATGTTTTTAATCCTCACCCCCACCCCTTTTTTTCCAGTATGTTTAAACGGATCTGGAGTGGTTAGGTAATAATAAACACATCTACTGTTTAACAAATCTACTACAGGAAACTGTTAAGTTCGTTTCTTAAATTTACCCCCACCGCCCCTCCGTAAAAAAAAAAAAAAAAAAAATAATAATTAAATACAGAAGAAGAATTTCTGCGCTGCATGAATTGCTTTTTTTCCCCTACTTTTTTCTTTCTGAATATTTTCCCGCCTCCGCGATCACACCATAGCACGTGAAAATCACGTGTTGTGTGAGCGGTAAATCGGAGCAGTCAATGTCGTCTGTAGGCCCGCCTAGTCTCCTAGACCTTTCCCAAGTAGTTATCAAAAAAGAGCAGACGGGGCGCAGATTTTAACAGACAAGCCTGGGTTGTGGGGTCTTGAGTTTATGGGTGGGAGCAATCACGCAAAGAGACCCACCAGCAAGAACAGTGATAAGCCGTTGTGGGTGTTAACTCCCCTCACTTAGGTTCTGCACGATCAACGGAGTCGAGCACTGCACGACCTATGACAGTCTGCTAGAGTGAGCATCATATCTTGAGCAACAAGCAGGCTGTCTGCATCGAGTTTGGGAAGACTGATCTGTTCCAGTCTTTGTGTCTACAACATCACTGCGTGATAGAGCATCTTGATTCTACAACAGCTAACAAACATACTCTGGAACATAAACAATTTAATCTCCGGTTGAGCAGTAATACATAAATCGAGGTTTAAAAAAATATAAACATTTTTTTAAAGACAAACTGGCAATCAACGCCAGTCATTGACAATTCTCGGGACTGCAAACCAGTGTTTTGAGCGTTTTATTTCAAACATCCATTTTCAAATTCGACCACTCTAAATTTGAAAAGCGCAGATTATCTGGTCTGAAATAACTCAAATAAAATGTTGTCTAGAAATTGGGAATCTGCTTCGATTTTGACCATATTACATCACCCGCTGCAGTTTGTTCTTATTTGCACTTTGCTAATGTCGAGCATCGCAGAAAGTAGCGGCGTGGACACAAAAGAGGATCGTCCCATCATCAGGGAAAAAAGGAATGCACGCAGCAGACAGGTATGTTGTGTCTGGTTCACTTTCTTTGTAATATGTTGTATGTTATGAGTTCAGAGCCAAGGGCCATTCTCATAAGCGCATCGTCCTCATCTTCAGCAGCCCATGTCGGATTAACAATTAAACACACTAAGCACGTGTTTAGGTCATCACAAAGGGAGGGGCACCATGGGTATTTTCAAAAGCCTTGGAGCTGGGCGTTCATTCTCTCGCTTCCCTTGCATTAAAAAATACAACGATACAACAAGGCAGGCCGGATGCCTTAACTCTATGAGTGTCATGTGTTACAAAACATTAGTCTGACGATTTCATCAAAGAGTTTGCAATTTAAAATTCAGTAGGAGACAAAAATATCAAATACAAATAACCTGGAATTATTCCAAAATAAACATTATTTTCTGTCTTAATATTGTTTAATTTCCATAAATACAATTTTTATTTTACAGGTTGATTATTGTATATATTTTGAATTGTTGTTCGTTCCTCACGAGTGAAGTAGACCACTTTCATCAAAAGTAGTGATAGCTGGATGAAAGTGACTTGCGCAAGGACTTGGATTTAAGTGAGGAAGAGTTGCACAATTTGTCGACCTCACTCTCTCGCCTGTGTCCATCTTGATCCAATGACAAGACAATGTCGAGACGATTGGAAATGGACCTAGGTGCAATGGGTGACCAAGGCGTCTTAAGTACCCTGCCTTGCTCGAAGCTCTCCACAGAGCACCAGTACCACTTAACACATGGGCCCGCTTGGCACTTGCCCTGTCTTCCAGTGGGCATGCTAAAATTTGTACATCAAGTGTACATCTATATTTCATTCATGTGAATGGTTCTCGTAGTTGCCCCAGCACGCTGGTTTCAACCCAAAGCCCATTAGGCTGTTAAGACGGCTCGAGGGTGCAGTGGGAGGGGGAAAGGCATCAATATCTTTTAAGTACTTAGCGCATCAAATAAATAGGGCACTACAACAGAAAAATAACTACTTGCGAAACGCGCTGTCTTCGTAAGGTCACTAACAACACAAGGAAATACAGGGCTACGAATACCAGCATGAGAGAGAAAGTCAAAATAAGACCATTTTAGGATTATATTGCCAGACAAAGAATGAAATGGTTAAGACATCTCGTGAGAATGCAGCCAGACCAGACTAAATATGAGACTTTTTGCAATAGAAAACTTGAGAGGAAGGCGAGAGGAAGACCAAGAGAGAACTGGATAAATAGTGGAGTATTAACCTGCAATATGATTAACAAATCCATCACCCAAGTCACACAAGAAGCGCAAGACAAATACAGGAAACCACGACACTGGGCTACAACCTGGTATCAGTGAGACGACAAAACCACGACACTGGGCTACAACCTGGTATCAGTGAGACGACAGAACCACGATACTGGGCTACAGCCTGGTATCAGTGAGACGACAAAACCAAGACACTGGGCTACAACCTGGTGTCAGTGAGACGACAGAACCACGACACTGGGCTACAACCTGGTATCACTGAGACGACAGAACCACGACACTGGGATACAGCCTGGTATCAGTGAGACGACAGAACCACGACACTGGGCTACAACATAGTATCAGTGAGACGACAGAACCACGACACTGGGCTACAACCTGGTATCAGTGAGACGACAGAACCACGACACTGGGCTACAACCTGGTATCGGTGAGACGACAGAACCACGACACTGGGCTACAACCTGGTATCAGTGAGACGACAGAACCACGACACTGGGCTACAACCTGGTATCAGTGAGACGACAGAACCGCGACACTGGGCTACAACCTGGTATCAATGAGACGACAGAACCACGACACTGGGCTACAACCTGGTATAGGTGAGACGACAGAACCACGACACTGGGCTACAACATAGTATCAGTGAGACGACAGAACCACGACACTGGGCTACAACCTGGTATCAGTGAGATGACAGAACCACGACACTGGGCTACAACCTGGTATCAGTGAGACGACAGAACCACGACACTGGGCTACAACCTGGTATCAGTGAGACGACAGAACCACGACACTGGGCTACAACCTTGTATCAGTGAGACGACAGAACCACGACACTGGGCTACAACCTGGTATCAGTGAGACGACAGAACCACGACACTGGGCTACAACCTGGTATCACTGAGACGACAGAACCACGACACTGGGATACAACCTGGTATCAGTGAGACGACAGAACCACGACACTGGGCTACAACCTGGTATCAGTGAGACGACAGAACCACGACACTGGGCTACAACCTGGTATCAGTGAGACGACAGAATCACGACACTGGGCTACAACCCGGTATCAGTGAGACGACAGAACCACGACACTGGGCTACAACCTGGTATCAGTGAGACGACAGAACCACGACACTGGGCTACAACCTGGTATCACTGAGACGACAAAAGAAGAAGAAGAAGGGCATCAACAGGTTTTCATCCGGCCCTGCCAGAAGCAGGCACGTGCAGAGTTCCAGTTACGATAGTACCAGTAACAGTCTGGGTTATTATATCCGTCTCGCTGCTTTCCTTGAGTGTTGAGCGTTGGTCAGATTCCCTGGTCACTCCTCGCTGTACAGTTCTCTTCAGAAGGTAATGATCTACGATGTGTGCCTATATACTATTCACTTAGTGCACTGGCAGCATCTAGATGATTTGGCATATAGGGCTAGACCTATATTTTTTATACAGATTATAGATCTGTGTGGGTGATTTAGTCAACATCACGCCGGTCGCCTTTACTTTTGATGACTTTACCTGGTACTCATTTAAGGCTTGGTCGACATGGGAGTCAAAGTCATTTTTGAAAAGAAGGGCCTGAACCCAGGACCTACCTTCGTATGGGCAGGCGAACGCCAGCCGTTATACCACGGTGGCTCCCAGTATCTATTGTACTTAGTTAAAACAAAAACACAAAGATTAGTTGCGTATTCTTTACAGGACGTTGCAGAACCAACCCCAGCAGCCCCTGGCTGTTGTGTGGTTTCTCTAGGAAAATTTACGTATAGTAGTTTGCCATTGCCTCTGTACGGTCGGCCCTCTGATACCACTGTCGAAACCATAGCAACGTGCATGGCCGGCAGCTGGGATCGAACCCGGCACCCCGGCATTACGAATCGTTCGCATCGACTTAGCCACAGAGCCCACAAAACAAAAACAAAAGGTTCTGTATTCAATAATTACAATATGATTATCCATTTTACTGTTGAAATATTGTTTTATATTATAAGTTTGAGTTTAGATTTATACGACGAATCAACATCATGGCACAATGGTAGTAACCCACAAGTGCTCAGTTCTACTTTTGACTCAAGCGCCTGGGTCGAAGTTTTCAGCGCAGTGCACGAACTCCCTAGCACCGGCGAATATCCTAAAATACTTTGGGTAGATTTTTAACTCTACGTTTTGCCTGGGCAAAATTAGGCTACTCTTTTCGATTTCCAACTGCTAAGGGATTTTGTTTTAACGCGTGCAAAAATACACACAAGCGTCCGATCTAACTACCCAGAGACCAGGGGAAATTACTAAAGGTCCAAGTAAAAAAATCCGTCTTCACCTGGACTTGAACCTGAGCTCCCACCCCCACCCGCCTTCCCCCATTACTACAATACAGTGAAGAAGATAATTTTTTTGTCCTTCTGAATTTGAAAACATAAAAACATTATTAATCACAACCATTACAGCAGACCAATCACGTATTAAAATCGAAATGGAAGAGGTTGAAATTTCACAGATTTTGACAATTTGGGCTCAGCGATGAACAGTAATGGCGACTGAACAAGAGAAGTCAGAAAAATTTTTGCCTTAACAATACAGAGGCTAAACGGCCTATGTCACAGTAGCAAGCGGGCCAGAGTACAATGTACACAAACTGAGATTGTGTATCATTTCCATGGCAACCTATGGGTGCGAGTCATGGACTCAGTCTTTGAAGAACAAAATCGGATTTTTTTAATGGAGAGCTACAGAAAACATCACTACAATACCGTGGACCTAAAAGAAAAAAAATATCGACATCCTAAACGATCTGAACATCGAGGAGAATTGGCTCATAAACAGCATCCTGTCTCGAAAGCTAAAATGTATTGACCATTTTGAACAACACGGTGGCGTGAAGAGAATAATCATGAAAGGTGCATTGGCTGGAAAACACTGCAGAAGCCAATCTCCGCGAGGTTTGGTACAAGACATTGAAGACGCACTGGATATGAAAGCACACAGGGCTGGAGAGCTAGCTAGAGGATGACAGACTTTCAGGCGGACCGTGAAGAGAGCGACATTCTGTAAAGGGCGTAGTGATTGATGGTGATGATGATAATGATACTAATGTTAAAATTTGTTTATTTTAGTGATAGAATATCTATTATATCTTAAAATATTGTTATTATTTCTACTTTGTTAAAATAAACTTACCGTTTTTTTAACATTATCTCTTATATTTCGTTAAAGTGTCGTTATCTATTTTTTAAAAATCGGACCTATCCCATTTTGTTAAAATGTCGGTGACTATCTCATTTTAAACTATCGTTGTCTGTTCTAATTTGCTAAAATATCGTTTTCTATTCCTTTGTTAAAATCTTCATCTACTCTATTTTATAATATCGCTATCTATTTTGCTACGTTAAAATATCGTTTTATTGTCTACTATGTTAAAATTTAGCTTTAGTGTGTTTCTAAACTCACGCTGTCACACTTTAACAAAAATCTCGTATACTGTACGGATCAATACGCAGTTTGTGCATGTAGCCTTAGATTCGCCCTGTCCTTTTGATTCTATAATTTACAATTGCACAGGTGCTGCTGTTTTCTTAAAGCGGCTAATTTCTTTGATCTTTGATTGACTAATAATTTCTGTACCCATGAATAAAATACAGTAATTACCACACGAGGGAAGATTGTTTAGAAAACAATTCACCTTTGCAGCAATGCATGTTGCTTATTTTTAAAAGATATTCTTCACTCTATGAAAAAAAAAATGCAACTCGCTGGAGGCGTATGCTGGAGATGACCACTTGAGAGTGAAACGCTCATGACACGTGTGCAATCAGCTTTGTAAAAGTTCCCCTTACTCAGTCTACTCAAGTTACTGTAAGCACGCTGGTTTTTATTTTTATTTTTTTTATTTTTTGTGTGCCTATGTAAGACCAAATTAAAACTAAATGCTTCTTTACATTTAAAAAAGTTAACATTTGAAAAACACACACTTTTTTCAAGGATAGAACTATTAACAAGCTGCTTGTCAAATTTCAACAGCTTTCACAAAACCGTTACTGAGTTACAGATCTATTAGTTTGGCAGGACTTTTGAAAGGCACTGTATACTCTACAATAGTATATTATCGTTATATCTTCTGCTATATTAAATATCGCATTATATTTTTACTATGTTAAGGTATCGTTTCTACTGTGTTTCTACAAGCCAAACAAAATTTTGAATGAAAAGTGACCTACCCTGTTTGGGGTGACTGGCGTAAAATTAACCTTTTCTCCATATTCATTCATTCAGTAGCATGTCCCTCGCGGAACCTCGCTGCCATAACAACCCTCCGGAAAACCTTCCTATCCTGAGCAAGATGTCCTGCGTCTGATACACCCATCTGGAGATCATCTGCCACATCCTGCACCCATCTTCTCCTTGGCCTTCCTCTTCCTCTCTTCCCAGGCATATACCCCTCCATTATTGTTCTCTCTAGACTTCCATGACGTTTCAAGTGACCAAAATATTTCAATTTTCTTTGTTTTATTGTCTTTACTAGCCAACCCTCTTCAATATTCAGCTCTTGAAGTATGGATGCATTTGTTCTTTTCTTTACCCAAGATATTCTTAGAACCTGTCTGTAACATTTATATTCAAATGCATTTATGCGCTGTTCCGCTTGTTTAGTAAGTGTCCAGGTCTCACAGGCGTATGTTGCAATGGGAAAGATGCATGCTCTTAAAAATCTGACCTTTGTAATTCTATCTGTACAATTTCATAATTTATTCAGTTGTTTTAGTCTTTGAAGAGCAATTGATAGTCGCCGTTTAATATATAGTTTCTCCATATAATACTACAATATTGTTATTTATTTTACTGTGTTTTAATATCCTTATCTGTTCTATTATTTTATTATTAAGCTGTAACGTTGTGTGAACTCAGACATTGCAGCATATTCTCGGAGTTGTGATGAAATCATCACATCTTTTCCCTTTGTGCGTAATGAGCCAACGCATCATACGCTTAAAGAAAGAAAACAATACGACCGACGAAGAGCAGAACGCTGCAAATATTAACGTGCAGATTTTAATCTAAATGAATTAATGTGTTCAGTTACTTTTCAAGTATTTCGTTAAGTTTCAAAATGAACATATTTTCGTTAACTGATGTTTTGCCCCTTGTCTTCAATGTCCAGGCCTCCCACAGCAATGACCAGTTGATGGACATCCTCAACGAGTACGACACTAACAACGTTGATGTCAACCTGCTGAGATACACGCCAACTACGCCAAGTCCCGAGGACGTCAACTGCTATGTGGAAGTCCCTGTGGTAAGGCACTATGTTCTTCTTATAATCCTTGCCGTGTGGCGTTGAAAGTCATGTCATTCCGCAACCGTCTGTGTCGTGTGCTTTCAGTCAGTTCTGACACAGATGATCTTCCGTGCCATGACTAATTGTCCAGCATCTTCTCTCTTCGTCTCCCTCTGCTGCTTCTCCCCTCCAACTTTCCCACCTTTATGATGTTCTCCAGTTTTCTCCCTCTCGTGACATGACCAACGGTCAAATGATACGAAACAGTCTCATAAAACAGACTGAGAACGATGGAGAAAGGCATTCTGCGTTCAAATTGGCAAGTATTGCTCCAGAAATCCTTGGTAGTTAGCGTAGTGTGGATATTTTCTCCAGGTCATGCAGGTGTTCTATGAAATGAACAGATGATTGGTTCTGCACAGCTTGGGCGTGAACCGATGCATGAAATGCTAGATGTGGCCCAGACCCTTTGGGGGAGAGCGAACAGTGCGAAGCCACACATAAATGATCATGGCATGGAAAGAATGGTACAGCGGGAAGTGGTCTGGCCGACACTCAACACTCAGAGGAAAAGCAAGAGAGATATACAATCAGAACGTGACTTGTACCAGCGGAACTGCAACTCTGCGCTAGCTGCCGAAAAGGGACAACGAATTTATGGGACTGTATCGAATGGAGTCGGCTCTTCACTCAGCACAACTCAACTTTGGAGAGAGCTGTAACGATCTTCTGTCTTCCTTTTTAATGAGATGTACAAGTTGGTTTTCATTTTTTCTAAGGTTCTTCCTGATGCAAATTATCTTTTTCGTCTCAATTGACAAAGAAAGATTGCATAAACTATTCTACATTTAACGTCTTTAATACCTCTTCCATCTGATGTTATCAGGATACCCAAGTACTTTAGTATATTCAACAAACAAGATTCGACACTACTTTACAATACGCAAATCACTTTTCTTCTTTTTATTTTAATATTTAAAATCTTAAAAAAAACATTCGTTTAATTTATACCGTAGAAATATCGAGGCTGTCTTGATGTGAACAACATTCCCTAACGAATGTAACTGGTCTGTAAACATTACGGAACACTCCGGTTGTCTAAGTATCCCGCGCCGTCCCTTCTTTGAAAAAATAAAATATTGTCTGTTGTTTACAAATCTAGGAATTAACTAGCGAATGGTTAATTCGACGTTAGTCTCCCACAGACCCGGCCTATATACACACTAGCTCAGCACGACAGAGCTTTTGACTCTACAAATACACGGAGAAACTGGGTCTTACACAACCTCCCCCCCCCCCCCCCCCCCCCCCCAGAGAGTGCTGCAATCTGTGTCAGGGGCATTATCTTTCTCGGAATTAAAACGCAAATGCAAGACATAGCAGAAACCAAACAAAAGAGCGGGACACACCAGTAACCTTCAGGAAAGTCGACCAGCCCAACAAATACACGGAGAAACTGGGTCTTACACAACCCCCCCCCCCCCCCCCCCCAGAGAGTGCTGCAATCTGTGTCAGGGGCATTATCTTTCTCGGAATTAAAACGCAAATGCAAGACATAGCAGAAACCAAACAAAAGAGCGGGACACACCAGTAACCTTCAGGAAAGTCGACCAGCCCAACAAACTTGTGAATGAAAAGTTTAACTAATCTGCTTAGGATGCCCAGTTTTCAGTTCAAAATTTAAGGCCATCGTCGTTTAGCACCAAATGACCCCTGCGCCTTTAGCGAGAAAGGGATCATTTACTTTTACAACAGTATTAGTTATCATATGTGCTTTCTCCACAGACCAGGCGTGTGGGTGGCCGGTGTGTCCTGCTGGGCAGCAGCACATGGGGTTGCCAAGCCGGCATCTTCCTGGCCTTCAACTCAGACTGTCAAAGCGAAGCCACTCAACAAACGCCCACCCAGACACCAGCCGCGAGTGACGACGCCGCCTCGGTTACTGGTCAAGCAAGTACTCGCACACGAAACCCCTTCAGGCGGAGGCGAAGACCCAGTCGACGATAAGTGTCCCACTTGTCTCAACGTAAAACAGTTGGCGGGAAGTCCTGACGTCTGGGCAATCTACGTGCTGGGAAACTATACAATTTGGTTCAATATTTATTATATCACTGTCATTTTAGGCTAAACACAGGGTCCAGTTCACGTTTTCCGGGACATCTACACACTGGCTGACCTTTCATTCATACTTTCTGAGACGGTTCTACCTCATACGGGTATCACGTTGTCTTGCCTCCAGTTACATCAGCGCTGATGTCGCGTGTTCTTTACTTCACGACAACACAGCTCTCAAAGACCCTAGAATATCTCGAAGTGGCCCTAACCCAACAACCCCCCCCCCCCGCCACCCCACCCACAGCTTGAGTCTAGGTCACACGAAGAAAGCAGTACAATGTGACACCCCTCTGATCTAGATCAGACTGAGAAAGTGTGTAGATGGGTCGGGTAACGTGAACAGGTCCGCACACAGATGTATAATAATTTACCAATTTATAAGGATTTCACTATCACATAGTTAAAGATACATTAACATTTAGCTGCTTAGTTACATGTTTTCTCTCCAGAATGTCGCAAAATAACCCCAGCAATTTTTGGTGGCTGTGTGATTTTACGTTCGATAGTTTGCTGTTGTTTCTGAACACAGCAGCACTTATGCTGTTATCAAAATCAGCCCAAAGCTTAATCGTCTCCAGTTGACACCGAACCTCGGTACTGAAGGTTATTAAACTACATTCACGACCACTTAGTCAGAGAAGCTTAAAGATAATCAACTCACATAGTCATGTCCCATAGCTTCCCACCTGAATGCGTTTTATAATCCTAGATGTACTAGATCCGATTCCACTGCAGGCGGTCGTAAAATTCCAACAGACAGACAACAGTAGATGCATACAGCCATGGCAGTAGTAGTACCGGGGTTTCAACTTCACTGAACACGGCTGGTCCCATAATTATTCCCTTCATATGCCACTAATGGCTCCCAGGTCGACCCAGCCTTGAGTGGGTACCGGGTGCAATCCCGGGAAGTAGAGGCGGCCGGCGTGATGCTGACCACATCACCCATCTTGTGCCGTTGGTCTATAAAAATATAGGTCTAGCCCTATATGCCCTATACGCCTAAAGGCGTGGAAAAGGTCCTTTACTTTACTTTTTACTTACTATGCCACTAAATATCACTAGTACTAGTGAACAAACAATTAGTCCTGACAAAACGTAGGCTCGTGAACGCACAGTAAATGCATATGATAGTGGTTAGAGGTGCCAGTACCAACAGTCGCTCTCAGAATTTGAATTTGTCGTTGATGACAGCAGTCAGTCACGATAAATTGTCCATTCACGCAATATTAATGCATAAGGCACTTAACCAAATCAGAAACCGGCCACCAGCTGTTTAAATTTTCTAAATATCACGACACAAACCGTTGCAGGCACACACGAAAGGCATTCCACGCACAATGTATAGCTAACTGTGTTGTACCCAGCACTAAACTCAGTAGCTTGGACAATGAAACCGGGGACTCCAGTGCATATTTGGAAACTGCAACAACAAAAACAACGTTAAAAAATTTTTCCACAATTAGAGCATGGGATTTCAGAACCATTATTGCCAACACATGTTATTCCCCCCCCCCCCCACTCAAATGTCCAGTTCTCATCCTTTCTGCAATCATGTTTCCCATTTATTCTTATTCCTTGCATGAATTCATGACCCCCCCCCCCCCCCCCTTTTTTTTCACGAAACACGGTCAGTAGCATATGTGTGTGTTTTTTAATACCTGGTGCATTGGTTTTACAGTCAGTGATTCGGATTTAGTCTAAGCTACACGCATCAATTGGGCCCACAGGCTGTGGCGGTTCGACATCTTATTGGTCGGGTGCTGCCCAACGACACAGGCGGTAGCTGATCAATGACATACAAATTTATGTTTCCCACCGTCAGAAGCAACCCGTGGCGCCCTCGTCTACGCCAGTTGACTAGAACTCATAAACCGTAACTGCTGCCTCTCGATTTGTTTCTGAGACAAATTAAGGCCAGGAAGGAAAGTTCCTTCTCTCCATAGCATAAAGCCTGGGCAGTATTGATCCTGCGTTGCCAGTGCATCTTGATAACTCCCTTGAAGAACACACAGTACAAACATGTATAATTATAAAATAACACATACGGTACACACATACAATCATAGAACAACACTGTATAAGCACCTAGAGTTGTTGAACAGCACACAGTATAAACACACAAGTGTTAAAGAACATCACACAGTATAAACACACAAGAGTTATAAAACTGCACACACTATGAGCACGAATGTCTCCCAGACTATTCAAACAAGTACTACATTGCTGCAGTTTTGGCGATAATATACTTCAAGGAGAACTGCGTTGTCTAAAATATAAGGTAAATAATATTAATCATTACAGTTTCCCCATGTACCACAACATTACCTCAACCTAAACGTGTTTGTTTATATATATATATACAACTGTTGTATCCGTTTTGCTCTCTGACCTTCAATCATTGTTGTAGTTAAGTTTATTTAATTATTTATTTGTGTGTGTATCCTGTATTCTCTTGTTTACTTTTAATCAAGCTACCTCAAACAAGAAATAGGTGTACCTTTAACTTACCAGCTTATGTTTTTAATGTTTCATGTTTGCAAGATGTTAACTTCTTGTCATATTTGCACCGAAAGTTTGCTTCTTGTGTGTGTTTTGTGTGTGTGTGTGTGTGTGTGTGTGTGTGTGTGTGTGTGTGCATCAGACGTTAACTTTATTTTTATGTGTGCTAGAAGTTAATTTTCTACCTCATGTTTTCATGTAATTAATTTCTTACAGCATTTATACTGGAATTATACTTGTGTATAAGAAGAAGAAGAAAAAGAAGAAAAAGAAGAAGAAGAAGAAGAAGAAGAAGAAGAAAGAAGAAGAAGAAGAAGAAGAAGAAGAAGAAGAAGAAGAAGAGAGAAAGAAAGAAAGAAAAAAAGAAAGAAAGAAAGAAAGAAAGAAAGAAAGAAAGAAAGAAAGAAAGAAAGAAAAGAAAGAAAAGAAAGAAAGAAAGAAAGAAAGAAAGAAAGAAAAAAGAAAGAAAGAAAAAAGAAAGAGGAAAGAAAGAAAGAAAGAAAGAAAGAAAGAAAGAAAGAAAGAAAGAAAGAAAGAAAGAAAGAAAGAAAGAAAGAAAGAAAGAAAGAAAGAAAGAAAGAAAGAAAGAAAGAAAGAAAGAAAGAAAGAAAGAAAGAAAGAAAGAAAGAAAAGAAAGAAAGAAAGAAAGAAAGAAAGAGAAAGAAAAAAGAAAGAAAGAAAGAAAGAAAGAAAGAAAGAAAGAAAGAAAGAAAGAAAGAAAGAAAGAAAGAAAGAAAGAAAGAAAGAAAGAAAGAAAGAAAGAAAGAAAGAAAGAAAGAAAGAAAGAAAGAATTTCCCGCTTCACGTATGCTGGAAGTTAACATCCTACCTTCTGTGTGCTGTGAGGTAACTTCCTGTCTCATGTGCATTAGAAGTTTCCTCGCTCGCTCTTTGTGAGCGAACAGTTAACTTCTTACCTCACGTATGTTAGGATGTAACTTCCTGTCTCGTGAATACTGAAAGTTAACTTCCTACCTCATGTATGAAAGAAGGGAAGATTCATCACACGTGCCCTAGAAGTTAACTTCTTACCTCACTTATGCTAGAAGCTCTACCTCATGTGCCCCAGAACATTCATTTCCTACCTCGAATATGCAAGAGATTTCTACTAAGCGGCGTCCGTGGCTTGGGGGTTGCGAGTTCGACTCGTAATTCTAACGTACCGTGTTCTGTGGAAGTAAAGAAGGCCGGCGTAATACTGACCATATTATCCACTTTGTGCCGATTGGTCTGTAACAATATCAGTGCTCTTCCCGCATGCCTGATGCGCCTAAAGGCGTGAAAAGGGAACTTTATTTTTTTTTAAATTTTTTTTTTTAATGGTATGCTTTCCTAGAATGCCAGACGTCAATTTCCTACGTCACATATACTGACAAGTTAGGTTCCTATCTCTTACGTGCTAAAGTTAACTTCCTGTTTCATGTGAGTTATAAATTAGTTTTTTATCTCATGTATAATAGTATATAATTCCTGCTTAACTTGTGCTATAAGTCAAAATTGTTCCTCGTGTGTGCTATACTGATTATGTCATGTATGTGTTAGTATAAGGTATAATAAAAAGTTTGAAATCATGCATCTTTCCCGGGGCAACTTATTGTTGTGAGTCATATTCTTACTTCCCATGTCATGTACTCTAGAAGTTAACATCCCACCTCATGTATGCTAGAAGATTGCTTACAGCAAACTGTTTTGCTCCTAAATAACGCAGCACTTTCGATTTTTATCTCTGAATGTTTACGTATTGCTCAAAATTAGGGGTTCGCCATTTAAAAATTTTTCTAAGCTACACTGATAAATGTCGGAACCGTTACAAAACGAAACGAAATTATGTAGAAAATAATCTACAATTAAAGGGGGTAAAAAGAGGGGGGGGGGGTGCAATTTTGAGCCCAGAACTCATATGCCTTTAGAAAACTTGTAATATGTTGAAGGATAGCGTCAATCTAGAAAGAAATGAGCTTTCTTCATCTTCTTCACTTTTTCTGCTACATCTTTTTATGTCGATGGAAAAATCTGTTTATAATAAAGTTTACCTGTTCAAAGTGTTCTCACCATTCGCCTCGGAATCCACACCCCGCCGATTCAAAATGAAGTTTAATTAATTGACCAATTTCTCAATCAGGATAGGATTTATATAGCTCACCAAAATGATCTGTCTCACTTTCGTTAACAAAGAAAGATTACATAGAATGTTCTTCATTTCACCATTCAGCTCAGAGAAAGATATTAACAATCACAGACAAAGATATTAACAATCACAGAGAAAGATATTAATATTTTTAATGTCCAGAGAGTTTAATTTTTCCTGCTGTTTGTGAGTTTCATTTGTTGTACAAATAAACATGTAGCAATTATTTAAATATTAAAAGTATTAAACATAAAGATGACTG